ACTTTAGACACAAAAACATATCTTTTGGTAATCTACAGACCTTGCCTAAAAAATGAGCATTCTTTTTATTCTAGAATACTTTTAAAACTAAAAGCGCTGTTTAAATAGAAGTAGTATACAAACTAGTGACAGTGCCATTAAAATTATTCCTACTACGCCCAGGATTATTCGATGTTGCTCTCTTGCGCCTCGAGTCTATTTTGTAGTTGTAGTAACCAAAGTATCAGTCAAGATTACATTCCATTATCATGCAGAAGAGCTAAGGAGGAATTTGCATGGCCTGACAGCCATGCCACGAAGTGGCATTGCAAGCTACGGATACTGAAGTTCCCGAGCAGTTAAACATACAGTTATACAAAACACCAAATCATAACACGTCAAGACCGTTCAAGTACTTGTCACTCTCCTATTCGTGGAAGGACTAGCAAAACAACAGGACTGTGGCACGTTCGTTGGTCACCCATAAATTACCAAGTTAACATGTGTGGGACTATTAAATCTTTGAGCGATACTGCGACTCAAGCGACATGCTGCTTCGAGCTCAGCAATGTAGACTGATGCTTCTCTTCGCAAACAATTTATGATGTCATTAAGTAGGGCAATTGTCAGAAAAAAATCGCCCCTACCACAGTTCCCGTGTAACAAAAAGTGTTCTTCCACAGAGCGAACTCATTCACTTTTACAACACGATATTCAATCACATCTTTACAAAACTGCATTTGAGTCTTTGCGACACTGCACCCCAAGCTTAACTAAGCTAAAAGATTCATATCCTGAGAACAATTTCCACATCTGACATTTTTGTCTTAATGAAGATTCGTCACTTAAACCACTATCTTTCGGTAAGACATGTTTTTTACAAATGTCATTAACAGATTTCTATAATTTACTGCCACTGATAAAATACAAGTCGAATACATTTTGTTAAATTACGTTATTCTAATTTATATGCTAAATTATAGTCTTTTAATGCAATTTCCCGGAAAAGAGAAATTTATAAGCCGCGAATGCGTACAAGTTTTGCGAATGCTGCATCTGTACAGCTCTATGTGGAGCGATTTGGGAAGGAAGTCTGTCTTCCTTTGTTCAAATAAGTATAACTTGGCAGCATTTGTTTTCCCTACCCATACCCTACCATCGAAAGCATGTGTATAACTGAAGTAACCCTCTTGGCCACTCAGATGCAAGGTTGCGGGCTGGAGGTAATTTGCATTGAGTTCCCTACTCAATCTTACCACTCTCAAGGACATCAAATTACCAATTCTTGTCGTTTACTTGGATATCCCTCTGGAAGGAAACATCGGATAAGCATATGTTTGGCCGACCGCTAGTGTAATTTGTACGGCGAGGGTCTGCTCTTACCATTAATTATACTCCAGTAGAAAGATTACAAAATCCCTAGAGTTTATCTGAGCAGTTGTTTTGGAGGAAAAAGTGTTCCTGTGGCTAATTACACTAGCCCAAACACAAGTCAGGCCAAGAAGAACTGGTAATGCTTGGAAGCCTTTCTTATTCGGGTTCCGCGTAACAATTGCATAGACATTTCTGTGCCACACATAATTCAAGAGGTTTGATTAATGAGGACTGTGAGAAATGAGTACTTTCGTCCTCGAAGGTTTTCCTCAACTAGACCAATTACGAGAAGAGGAATGGCTATCACAAGATCAGTAAACGAGTCCTGTACAAACGATGCTACAAAAACTGTCATTTTGACGCCACACAAAGGAGAATAGAAGAGGGGTAGGGGAAAGAATAAGAACTTAAACGTTCAGAAAAGGAACAAATGATCGATCACAAGATAGCAGTTTTGAGACAAAAATAACCAACCAAAGATCGTTGCTTTGAACAACATGAGTGAGTGCGTAAGTAGAAAAATGGAGGGGAATTATGCGCGCTCACACACTTGTGTGTGCGTGCAAGACAAGTATAGTGTGGAACGTGAATTGAAGACCTGAGGGAACATTAAATGCATTGAAGGCTGTCATTGGACGGCTTCACAAGGTTGTTTGCAGGCCTGGTGTCGAGTGAATTCCGATCAGAGGTGAGGCAGAACGAGGAGAGAGATCCTCCGGACTTGCTGAAGATACCGCCGTAACGACAGTAGCAGTAGTAGCGGTAACAGCGGGGTTAGGCGGCGGCGGCAGGAGGCGAACTTGACTGCGCTCACTCGTCGACTCGCATGGCAAAGTGGTGGAAGCGGTTGGCAAGGGGAATGTGAGGCCTGTGGGAGCCAATGTGGGAAAAGCCGGGTGGTGAAAGCCACCGACAGGAGATGAATTGCCTGGAAAGTGCTCAAAACTCGTGGGAATGTGCAACATTGTTGGAGGACGGGAATCATCTATGGCTTCGTTGATGGAACTGCTCTCGCTTACACCAGAGCTCTGCAATTTTGACATGGGTGTGCCTAAGAGAGACAAAATAATGTTTAGTTTTTTCTCATGCCATAACATCTAGCATGTGTTGCACCCTAGTTTTTTTACCGTACCAAGGAGACCTTCCACTATGCGTTGTGTGTCTCCATTTCCAAACCAATGTTTGCGATTTTCACCACGTCGATTACGCATCAATTCCTTGTACTCAGAGATGCGCAACTTCCTCCCGTCAACAATGCAAGTTCGCTTGGGCCTTGGCCGATACCGATAGTCAGGGTGATCCTCCATGTGCTTGCGACTCAACCGCGACTGCTCCTCGTAATAAGGTCGCTTCTCCTCCGCCGACATCGCCTTCCATCTGGCTCCGAGAATCTTCGAAATATTGCTGTTATGCATGTCAGGGCAAGCCTAAAAGTGGAAGTAGTTGGTAAGCAGTTATGGGTGTACTATTTATTTATAGGTAGACAAAAAGGATTCACGAATCTAGCTTATGTTGCATGGCGGTATGGAGCTTACCTTGAGGATTTTGCGACGCTCCTCACGGGCCCATACCATGAAGGCATTCATAGGTCGCTTGATGTGAGGTCTTTTGGGTGACTTTGTTTGGTTTGCGTCGCTCGAATCATCAAGTCTACTAGTTTCGATCTCCCCGAAATCGCACCTTGTGAAGATCTGTAATAGTCAGAAAAATAAAGCTCGTTCACGGTACCCCATACTACCTTTCGCTTAAAAACTAGAAAATTAGGCACATCTCACAACTGCTCACCTTCTACCAACACTGAAGGAGGTATTGGTACGCACGATTCATCACTAATGCTTCGTTAGTTCCGAGCTCCACCGTAATCAAATGAGAATCACGTTGATTCTCTCTTTTCAGCCTTGACGAGGTAGGGATTTACCGTCCATGAAAAGATCAAGTTAATGGGATAATCTTATGCTTTTTTCCCTTTGCCAGATCTCGCGAACTATGCAATGCTAGTAATGAGTGGATGATGTCGAAAATTATGTCAATTTTCATGAACAGTAGTTGATCAAGAATCCTATCATTGATTTGGTGTATGGGTTCTAGCATACCCATCTCGCATCAAATGTCAGCATACGTAGTTTTTAGCAATGACGTGAAGAATTCTTAATAAAAGGTGAGTGTAGGTTTGATCCTAGGCATTCGTGGGTGGTAAAATAAACGCAAACGCATGCATATACACATGCATTAATTGCTATAAGGAAAAACGGCTGTCGAGGGTAATCACTTTCGAATACGCTGATAGTCTGTTCATTTGTGCTTGCACAGTAGCGCACACATCCCGATAGGACACACCCCACGCATATCTTTACTATCCGTGCGCCTCTTTACACCAAGTGGATTGAAATGAGAGGAAAGAGAAGAGACGGTCGGATGAATAAAAACAATGACTGCAAAGAGAGCGGGTGCGCCACGCACGCCGGTTGTCTGGGCCTCGGGCGAAATTTCCTTGCATTTAGAATTAGGGCACAGACAGATATTCGTCCGTGCACATGCAGGCACGCACACTGTTGTCGTGAGTCTTTGTTACAATCCGTATTCACGCACGTGGGGCATCGGCGAGAGGACAAGGCAATTTTGTTGCTTCCACTCTCGGCTTCCGGATTAATAAACAAGTAGTATTCACAATCATGAACCACGCAGATGAATCAAATGTAACAGTTGTTTCAGGTAAAGACTTTCAAGGTCTAGCAGTTCTCACATCTCTTTTTTCCTTGTCTTAAAGCCTTCTGAGGCTCTCACTATACTCACCTTTCTTGACTGGCCGAATCCGGTACCCTGATTTGGCTTTTGCTCACAGTCCGTCTCCTGTTGCGAGGACTGCAGTGGTGGCGATTGACGCATTAGTGGAAATCCGTTGCTTTGTGATGGCAACGAGACGAGTTTTGGTGAAGCAAAGAGGTCACCAGAAGGCATCCGTCCAGATGGTGTTGGAGCTCCAAGTGGTAAGGCTTTGGGTCCATTCTGTAGAGTGGAGAGAAGAGCTGGATCAAGACCCAGGTGAGTGAGGAGTTGTTGCTCTGATTTGGCGTCCTCCAGTTTCATGCTGAGTAGGGACAGAGGGAGACCTGGAGCAACAGACGGCTCCCGCAGGGGCAGAGACGTGAGACCCAGTGGGATGACGGGCATGCTCCCCTCCGGACTAGTCGAGGGCACTGGTATGGATGGCTGTTGCTGCTGTTGCGTTTGCTCATTACGAGGTGGGCCGGTGGAGGTGTTTTGTTGACAAGCCTGAATCATTTTGAGTAACAAGTCGCATGGATTCGCTGAGCCAACATCGAGAGGCGAAATCTGTCGAAATCAACCACATGGGCACAAAATCAGTACTTTTGAGCTTGCCCGATGATGCCTAGTTTTTTTTAAGAAGAATGGACGGAATGCCTTCAAAATTGATATTCTTCAAAGGCATTCATCACATGCAAAGAAAATAACACGGATTTTTGGATTGAGTGCCATAGTGCTACTGAACAAATTGTTTCGCAATTCTGTAAAGTCACATTGATCTCATAGTGTTGCGAAAGTGGCAGGACTCGAAATGGCTCCTCATCAAATGAAAAAAGAACTTTTGTTGACTTTACTTGCATTAACCTAACTGATGATGGGAATGTGATTTTCCATTTTGAACCTTGTCGACACTGCGTGAATTTCTAACCGATTAATTTACAAAAAAAGCATGAAAAGGGAGAATTTTTGGTCATTGCCAGCCGCATTGATGGAGTTTGTCAATTTCCTTTACCTTCAACTCCACGGTTTATAGACTTCAAATCGTCAAGGCGATCTGGGTCGGATAAAACCCTTAATCGCTCAAGTATACGTCAACTTCGATTTTATGGCCTCCCGGCGGGTACAATCGGAGTGATGCGGAGTTACCTCGAGTGCGTCTCATCATCAAGTTTATTTACGTTTTCAGGACAAAACCCGGTTTCGCGCTGTGGATGCGTCACCACCCACGATAAATGACGTGCCGAACGGGAAAAATAATGTATGTCGAGAACATTGGTCATATCAGTGAAAGAAGTCTAAAGAGAACCAGCGGTGTTAGAATACCCTTTCAACCACGCACGTGGCAGCAACTTCTGCTTCAGTTAGTAGTTTATAAGGAAGAAAAAAAAACTCACATAATTCAGAAGCTTGGATGAATCGGAACGGATGGGGAAGGCAAGTTTTTCACCTTCACTTCCTCCAGGTTTTGCGGAGATGCCACTGATTTTACCAGCATCAACGAGTCCGGTATGAAAGAGGAAGGGGGAGATACTGGGGATTGCGTTCTCCTGGCCACACCATGAAGGCGGCTCCATTTGTTTTTCTGCCGATGTTTCATGTTTGCTTTGCGTAAGATTTAGAGGCGTGTCATCATCAGTCTGTCAGAAAAGATTAAAAGGATTTGGAGCATGGCATAGTCGTCATACCCTTTGCCCTTCAGTTTCGATGCAACATGAGCCACATTAAATGTGTGATATTGGGATCTTCCATCGGTACTTTGCGCCTCACTTTACAATTTTAAAGGAATACAGACGGTAGGAACGAACTCCGCTTGTCATGACAACGCAAAATTCAGCCAACTCAGTGCCTCGTACTTTAAGGCTCAGTAATTATCGTCGACTTTGCGCTAATAAGTAAAATTACTCTAGACTTAAAAAAGTACTTTTTGTTGAATTGATAAACGCGACTTCCAAAACGATACACAACTTGAATCCAATCAAGTTCTGCTCTTCACTATCATGCCTTTCTCGGAAAAATTGAAGGAGGCCTATGTCTTTTCCCGTTTTTTGATGTTGTGATGCTCTTTTTTATGCGATTCCACCCATAAACGGCTTGTGCCATCCCAACTGTGAGTCGGACGAGGAGTGTCCTGGAGACACCTTTGTTACACCCTCCTTGCGTTGCTCTTCAGGCCACCTGGGACAACTACGGGCTTATCGACAGAATTTGGGTGCTATGCGCATATGCACGCACCCAGGCAAACACAACACATAAAGGTACAATTGAAGAACAAATGTGTGCGCGTCTGCTTCTAGTACCACCGGGAGGAAAGAGAGAGGTGACTAAGTCCCGACCGGGAATTTCGAACAATGCTCCAGTTTTCGGAATGTCGATGATGACTGCACAAAATACCCACTGTCTTCGAGCGATGGGATGGCACAGCCCCAACGCACAAAAGGAGTCACCTTACGTGGGATGGAAAGATGTAGAAAAAACGAGGCATCCCATGGACGAGGAGTCTGCTCATTTCTATTTCCCAATCCATCTTCAACGCCTCACCACCATCCATCAAGTATACAGTGTAGATCCTTATAAATGACACGTTAAACACATTTAAAATAGCCGTATTGTATAGCATCATTGAGCCGGATATGAATTAATTTGGTGACTCGAGACAAGTTTTGAATCCATACAAAACTTGGTTGAGTGAAATCGGAAATCCCACAATTTATATATTTTTCAAGACATTACTGTGAAATAGAGAGGGAGAAATGGGTAGTATCGTGTTCATTTTAATTTTGATACCACAATGCTCGTGGTCTAGTGCAAAATCAAGAGAGAGGTCAAAGCTGTGGTTTGAGTAAGCATTCGGAATGGTCATTTTATGGCTTCTACTCTTAACGCTTAAATGGACCTCTAATTGAAATAACTGATTGGAAGAAACTTTTAACGACACGTTCCTCTTACAAAGAGTGCTAATGAAGGTAGTCACCTTGTAAAAAGTACTAGTTCATCAACTGCTTCAATACCTGGCACTTTGTGATGAAGCACAATTGAGTCAGTAACTGTAAAATTGTAGTTCAATACCCCCATTGAAGTTCACACCTGTAAGGTCCCAGATAGTTGGTGAGTCCCTGCAGTACGTTAAGTTCAGGACAAAATTCCAAGTCACAACAGTCCGGTACGGATTATACTGAAATGGTTGACTCTTTGGATAACCCCAGCAATAACTAATTTAAACCAATCCTTCTCTAAAAATGGGCCCCTTGTCAATCAAACATCTCGAGTAAGAAGTTAACCATACTTTAAAAAGAAATCAAGTTAGTGTAAAGGCATTTTTCCCCAGAATTTAAGTAGCCATCTATGACGTCAAGTTAAAAATGCTATTGACACGAACCTTACTACCATTACTGTTGCTGCTGATGTTGAGGGGTGAAGAATTCAACTGCCTTTTGAGTCCACTAATTTGATTTGCGACCTCTGAGAGAAGAGAGATCTTTTCTTCCCTGCTGAGGTTGGAAGAAAGGCAGGCGTTGCGGAGGATAGACATGATGTCTGCAGAGGCGATCTCTCTCTGCGACTTGGGGGAGGGGCCAGTGTTTACCGTCGCTTTGGGTGAAAGATTGAGAATGCAGCTTGTACTGGACGGTTGTGGAAGGAATGGGGCGAACTCCATGTCTCCGGGGATTCCTGTGGTGTCGGTGGTTGAGGAGGTATTTGATGATTTGTGCGCAAGACCAATCACAAGCGGAGATTCGGCGGGTAACTCTTTCAGTCTATTTGGTTGATTGGTTTTGCGTTTCCAAGACATCAGTTATAGCGGTGGAACGTACCTAAATGATTTAAATCAATGTTATTAAACAAGGGAAAACATAAAAACTAGACATTGCTACCAAAGAAATCATCGTTGATTTTGGTAAACGGACAACTTGTTTTGTAGATTTGAGGAGGAGCATAACTTAACAAGTCAAATTTACAGCAAGCGCTGTTGCAAATGTTGAACTCAAGTTTTAACAGTCTGATTCTGCTGTATTCTTTGGTTTGAATGATCAGTGGATCTCAAACCGCATCATCCATTGCCTTTTGTTAGATTTTGCCCATGTGAAGTGTTGTGTTAAAGTCAAAGTGAGGGAAATCAAAAATTTTGTAATTTTGTAGATATGTTAACTCATCGCTGTGTTGACGCTGCCGAAAATATAAGGCGTTCGCTACTTGCTTCTCATTACGATCGTTGTCCACTGCAGTTGTGAGGATGTTCGTGCAACCAAATTAGATCACCATTAATACTCTTACACCCTGGCTAACTTTGTTATTTTACGTAACAGAAATTCCCTCTCGAACCACTATGGATGGTAAAGGGGACAGTAGGGAAGCTTGCAACTCATTTTGACCTATTAATGACATTTATCCAATTTGCAAGACGGTAAGGAATTGGTGCATTTAAGACAAAGCTTGTAACTGTCTTTTGGAGGTATGGCAATGTTCGCGTGCAGATAATAATTAGACCAAAACTTGGCCAATCCAAGGAAATAAGGCGTCCTAACCACGAAGCCGATTTAACATCCTTACGACAACTTTACCTCTCTCCGTGGCTTCGTTCTGCTGCTTTAGCAATATATGGCTTTTTTTAATTTGAAAGGACAGTAAAATAGGTCCAGAGATCAAAAGACCTAAAGTACCTCCTACTTTTTCAGGCATTAAAAACACCTACAAGAAATGCGATTGCGGCTTCCCTTAAGGCCTATCTTGGTTTTAGGTAAAACTGGAGTTACATTTCTCACACTCGAATTCAAACACTCTCCCTTTTATTCGATTTAGGAGTGATTGAGGTAAAAAGTTTCCTTTAAATAAAAAAACCAACAGTGAATGCAAATGATAATACCTTTGCAAGAGAATATGATTGCTGTTTAGTAAACTTAATGAAGCACCCTATGTCCTACGGAAAAACACGTTAAACACGCAGATTATGAAGTTGGATTAGTTTATGAAAGGGAAGACAGTTTTTCGGTGTTATAAAAGAAGCTCGTGTTGGATGGGTAGTTCTAAAAATTGTGCACGAAAGGCTTTGAGATGCTTACAAATTCCTTCGACAAGGGGTAACACTTTATCTATATAGAAAGCAATAAGCCTCGTACCATCTCCGCTATGTGGTTGTAATATTTACACCTACAATGTCTCACCTCAACCAGACATAAATTACACCCCCATCTCCCCCCATGGTCTTCGAAGCACTGTTCGCACACAACGACTCGTGCCCACAATGTACTTCCTCGATGTGGGCGTGCCCCACACAGACTAATTCCTCTCTCTCTCTACCCACTTCAACCCCACCAACCAGTCCGCTGTCTCATCCTCCCACCACACCACACCATCTCAATTCACCCCACCCCATCTCACGGCTACTCTTCATATGGTAATCACAGAGGTGGAACATAGGAGACGAAAATTGTAATACAATGGACTCTGATTGCTCACCTCACTCCCACCCTGTGTACATTCATGCGCGCACATTTGTAGTCAATTATTACAGTTTTCTCACTTCCCCTCCTTCTCCCCTACACGCGCACATACACCTACCAAAGATGAGGAGAAGAGTGAACACTTAATGAAAGGGATAACACTGAATGCTGTGTGTGAGGTGAGGGCTTTGATTAACACGCTCAGACTTTGCTTGTGATGGCTTGTCTTCCCCATCTCCTCCCCTAGCACGCAAAAACACTGCATCGCTGCCCCTATCGTTCTATTCAAATGGGCATTCTACTGAGTCTTGATAAGCCTAACGTCGATGTGGGAAGTTCGACAACAACTAATAGCGGAACTAATCAAGGGTAGCTCTGCCAATCATTCATTACACCTCTAAAAGCAGGTTTTATTCACCCAACGGCATGTAAGTGTGAAGAGAGAATGAGACATCTCACTACGTGTACAAAAAGTAAAAACTCACTATGTGCTTGCAATGCAGTCCAGAAAGAAGTGTCAAGTGAACAAAGAGATAGAAACCATCCACTGTGTGCGTAATAATCCCTGAGAGTGTGTAGGCGCGGTTACCCAACAGCTGGCAGTGCCGCGTTTATTGTGAAAACCGGTTGGTGTTCGTGAGAGTGAAAGGGAGGGAGGAAGGCAGGTAGGCAGGCAGGCAGGCGGGGGAGGGGGAAGAGAGATGCCCTTAATTCGCCCTGCGTCACATGGTAGTGCGTGCGTGCAGCTTTACCATCATTGTAAACAGCGTGCGTACCTCCAGCTGACTGGCCCTCGCTGTGATTGGCCAATTCAATCACCGGCGGGCAGCACGCTGCGTGTGTGCTGCACAGACGAAGACGGTCATCGCACGCGCATATGCACGTATGCGTGTGTTTATGCGTGCATGTATCTGAGATGTAATCAGTGGGCACACCGAGGTTTGTGCACAATCTTGGGGTAACACGGTCATTCATGTGTGTGCAATGATGCGTGTACACCGGCTCTCCCTCTGCCTCTCTCTCACAGCTTCCCATGACTGCCTATCTACTTGTGTGCCTCTGCGCCCATGATGACGCGGCTCACAATGGGACTGCACCGCTTCAGACTGACGGTGGTGCGGCCATGTACGTTGGACACACGCATTGTGCGTCCACAAAAGAAGACAAAAGTCATTGATTGTGTAAGGCTGTATGGTCCACCACCATCTCGCCTCACGTCACATCATACCACAGTGCCGGAGAGCCGTGCGTCCGTGTTTTTCGTTTCCGGGATTGCGTGCGCCTGTCTGGCCGTCTGGCGTGCGTGTTGTTGTTTATTCCCCTCTGGGTGCTTGTTCCAGTGACCTTTTGTGTGCTTTTGTGTACATGCAAGTACCAACTGCTTCAATCACCAAAAAACAACACAATTATCATTACTTCTTGCAGAAATATCTTAGAATGTATTTGTTTTTTCAAGCCCCATATACAACAGCGATGCTGAGGATCAAAGGCAGCGGAAATCTGCTTCCAATAACTGCATTCGCGTCTGTTGTCTTGTACAGTTTCAATTACTTCAAAAGACAATGCAATCATGAATTTGTTCCATGGAAGTGAATGAATCGCACTGCCTCAGTATCTATGATACATCACAGGTTAATGCATACCAGTAACAGCCCCATTCAATTCATCTTAACCTAAAAACATCTTACGGGTACGCGAGAGGTTCCCTTTGCATCAAAAAAGTGGAGGATTTGAGCTTAATAGTATGTAGTCTTTTGGTGTTAAAAAGTTTACAATTAGTCAGCAGCCCGAGTATTTGATGGATAATAGCAGAATGAAAGAATGTTGGTCATATAAGGTAGAGAAGAAGTGGATTCCTTCATTTAAAAATTCTGCTTAAATTTAAAATCATGTCACTCAAGCACATGCAATTAATGTCGAAATTTGGAGAATGCATCTTCCAATGTAGCATTCTGATTAACTTCATCGTCATGCCAATTAAATACATTAGTGGTCAATGTTCAAGTACTAGACCCATGCTCCAATTGAAGGTGGACAAGAGGGAAGCAATGAGTCTCGTGTGATTCGGACGTTTCAATACCTTTTGAAGTATAAGGGAAAAGTCTGAGGCCGTGAACGTATCGCTACCCGCCCATCTACGAAATTACATGAAGGAGGCGATTGCACTGATATTTCACTCGTGAGCCATTCTACGGCACCATGCTTGACACTTTTGCGCACATCCATCACTGAGTCAGCTGACTACTAGCTGCAGTTGCCGGGTCCGTGGGGGATTCATTCTAATGGAAAATGGCTTGGCTGTGCAGAGGATGGCACAGCAACACCGCACCGACGACCTACGCCAACCACACGCACATACACCCAGCAATGACAGGATGACCCGGAAGAGATAGCCAGCCAGCGCCGTTAGTCGCGTGTATGCACGCCCGTATGTGCAGCAGGGGAAACAAATACCATAAGCGCACGCCCAACTGTTTTATGCGCTCCCTACCGTTGGGTCAAACTTTACGAGCTCTGTGGAAGCACTCAGTCCAAAGCCATGGCGGAACACCTCATTGTCTATCATAACTAGAAAGGCAAGTCGGCAGACAATCTTCTAGTCGTAAAACATTGAAAATTGTAGTTCAATGCTGCTCTTGCATGCAAGTTAGCGAATTAAGACTCAACTTATTAGCAGCTGACCAAGCTAGAAGTTATCAAGGTAAGATGAGAGTTATTTGTGAAGGAAACTCCTTTGTCATTTTCGCTTAAGCTGCTATCTTCATTTATCATGACAAAACTTCACAATGCACAATTTATAGTACCGTCAGAAAATAGCTAGATTATAGAAACTCTACTGGAGTCAAAAAATGCATCAAACTGACGGTGTTGGCATACCACGATAATTTTATTCAGCGTCATTAAATCCACTGAATATCTTACAGTCTTATACATAACCCTAACCGTTTACTAGTACAGACGTGTTTCGATAATAAAACAAGATCACTGCAGCAGTTTATAAGGTAAAAAGACATTAAAAATGGAACAGTAGGAAGGTTGAGCGAATAACCCACTCATTTTACCTTAGCAAAGGAAGAAGAGACAAGGTTCTGGGTTTGCAAGCTTTGTCACCACTTACAACAAATCAATACAACTACAATTCCTTCCTACAAAAAAATTAGCAATTCGCAAGCAACAATTGTGAGTTGAGGTGTCTGATTTGTATCATAACACGCCCCATTATCACACACTAAACCAATCAACTTTGGTAGACTGTGAAATGTAATTGAATGCGAAAATTCGTGACTGAAATGGCGTAATTTATCCAATTCATCGATTTTGGTGAATAAAACCTCCATGGGTGAATGAGTGAAACACGCATAGAAAAGTGGAAACGCATGATATCAAGAAGCGCTATGATGGTTGTTTCAAGAGGAAGCATTAGAACGGTGAATTGGCTGAGGAAACTGAATCGATGTCATTAGAGTAGTGATGGCCTTTATTAGCCGATCTCAAGCTTAATGGAGTCGCATTGTGTACGAGTTTTCATCCAGCTGTCCCAATGGCAATAAACCCACTTCATTTGCGTTATTCCTGGTAAGAATCGATTCCGCATTGGTTCAGCAAATTTATGTTCCCGTCTGTGCATTTCGAACAAAATGAGATTCGCTGTTGAGGTCAGATTTTATGGCCCCCTGTGTGGATGTGTGCATATGCCGTTAGTTCATGTACACGCGCATCCAGATCTCTATAATCTTTCGCCCCCTGCTCCCTACCCCGACCCACGCTACACCGAGTCATATTCCGCTTACGCGGTCCATGTCTATTGTTCCCCCTCGTGGCTCTTGAAGCCGGCAGGGGACCACGTGGTTAGTGTACTCGCGCGTAACGGCTTTAGTGAGGAAAACCTGAGTCCCTCCCCGAGGTTAGGCTATGACGAAGAGCGGCGCACGTGTTTACCTCACTAAGCGGTTGTTACGACCCTTGAGACTGAATTTTCAAGGCGTATTTGTAGCAGTTTCTAGCATTATGAAGTCGAGGTTAATGCATTACCATAATATAATAACGAACTCTCTCTCTCTCTCTCTCTCTCTCTCTGAATATAAATTTAGAGGAAAAGTAGGTAACTTACAGGCATGTGCCGAGAGCTCCACGTTTTGGATATCAAACGATTCACTTTCAACTGTTGTATGGTGGACACGATGAACAGTAATCACCCAATTTAATTTTCGTTCGATTTATTGATAATCAATGAATGGTGTTCACTGGAGGACACTTCTCTCGAGAAAAGAATTACTCAGAAAGAATTAAGTTTTCCAGGTACTATAAGGAACTACAGTAGCTATACTTCGTTGAGTGACACGGGAAATCGTTACACATTCACCGTTTCAGGGGCAAAACTGGAACAATTCGGTCAATTCATTGTTTGAAAAGAGTTAAAGCATTAAACTCAATTCAAACAATGGGTATTTTTTAGGCGGTTGATCCTTTTGAAGACCGCTCCATATCAAAGAATAGCAGACACTGACAATCATCACAGAGTATCAAGACTACTAATATTTATCAGCCAAAAAGTCTCTCGCGATCCACCACCCAAAGTGGGGAAACAGTTGGAACCAAATTACAACACTTTACTCTTATAAGATACCTGATTAGCTAGTTCGACCATTGTTTTACCGTATGATTCTACCTTAGTTTGGTGCTTTGTGCAGAAACATTAATTAATAAAGAAATCTGAATTTAGTGGTTTCATAGAAGAACATTTACGTAAGGGAATTAGCACTTTTTACGGTATATTTGGAATCAATCAAGGCTACTGTCCAGCCTAGTTTGTATTCCATGAAACTGCGAAAATCTTTAGCAATAAGCAATTTGGATCTACCAAAAAGATCCTAAAATTTGAGCAGGGAGAATTATAAACACGAAAATCATTTGTGTTCTTTACAAGAAGGTTTGAATAAAACCAATAGAGGGGGTGAAAAATAGTAAGTTCCCATCCTCATGAGGAGTTTTAATGTCACCTTACTTTACAACCAAAGTAACATAGCTGACCATGCCAAGCGTAAAGGTCATTTAACTTCAGCTTTACACAAAGAATAATTTATGCGTCATTTTGTTTCAGTTGTTAAATGGTGCTTGATACGGTTTCCGATAAGACAAAGGGGAAGTGTGGAAATAAAATAAGAAAATAGTTGTAGCCTGTAAGTGTTCCCCTACATATTCCAAGTTTGGGTTTTCTATCTAAAGATCTGTTAAGCACCCATCAAGCAATCGACAATGCTTAATGTTTTATTGTGTGGGCAGTGTAACTTCTTCCTAAGAGGCAAGTGTATGTTTATTTGATGGTTCCGTATTGCAGCATTTCCTGACTTGTTAACTAGCTCACTTCTCGAAAGTAGTTTATATTAAAAGGTATTAACTTACCCCAGATGGTTAACGGTACACATTAGAAAGGCTTTAAGGCGACTTTCATGAGGCGGAATTGGTTAAAAATGACACATTGTTCGACTATAAAGGGTTCTGTCGTGTACCTGTTCCGGGTACAAAAGGCTTGGTTTACTCGATGAATAGCTAACAATGTCCTGTTACTTATTGCCAAGGTAGATGGACTCAAAACTGCATTTTTTAAACAGCCACAAACCGGAAGTGAACAATTTAGATGCATTCAGGATAAAGCAAAATCGGAGAGTAGGGAAAGGAGAGAGGGGAAAAGCAAGGGAACGAGGTGGACCGTATGTGTATGCGTCCACTGCGCCAAAGAGGCAGGAAATTGAAGAAATCTGTGCACTCCCTCAACGTCCTGTTCCAGCCTTCTCCCCGCACCTCGACAACGGGCTTCAGGTAAAACAACGACGGGAAGAATCTGACAGGTGGATGGGTACCACCAGATCCGGTGTTACAGGAGAAGGAGAGCACGTAATTTGTTCTCTTTCCCCACCCCATCCCTCTACATGCGCCAATACACACGCACACACACACACCCCATCCACTTTTGTTTTCATCCCATTTATTAACTGGACGTATGCATTCACGTTAACTGCCGGAAACGCTGCGCCGCATATTGTTATGTGGGTGCGTACGGGCGCGTGCGCACATGTGCCTCGGGGAGGGGGCAGGACCGGGACGGGAGAGACGGGGTTAGACAAAATGTTCTGGGCACCGGAAAAGGGCTGTGATTGTTTTAATGGGACATGTGAGCAAGAACTGATTAATGCTATGGAGACCATTAACTGGTCTTTGAATTTAATCACCAGGCTCTACAAATTACCTCGTGCAACAACTGTACAGTCAAAATTGTGGTGCCGATAGTTTGTGAAGCCCATCGAATAACATGCAAGCTAGTAAATAAAGTGTGGTTTTTTTCTTCTAGTCCATATTACTAAAATAAAGCTTTGCTAAACGAATGATTTGGATCTGTGCAGATGCATGAATGATGTGGCAGCGAGTATGGACTGCAATACTTTGATGTACCGAATCCACACTAAAAATCGAATGCAAAAAGTAGATCATCCAATGAAAGTGTTTTCGTTTGACATATTTTACAAAAAAACACAGTGGATCATGTTGGTAGTGCATTTTCCTTGTTAAAAGGTCATACGAAACGAAGTGTTTTCAATATCGGATTCACTGACGCCGATTAAGGGCTAATATTCTAAAGTACCTGTAATTTGGCATTACTTCAAAGTGTATCATCACTCCTACAACGTGGACAACACAGCTATTCACGTTACCTTTAAATATTTTCTGATAAAAGACAATAATTTCCGCTGTCACAGTTTGCTCATCCCCTCTGTAATTTTTTGGTCATGATTATCTGAGGCATCGTGATACTCCAAAGTTTTAAATGACAAAAATAATGGTTGGTAGCGAAAATTCGCTAAATTAAGGGAATGAGAGTAAGTCGAATAAATAATTAACTCTCTAATATTCTAAATAAATGAATCACGCAAACGATAATATTGTGCTTCTGTTCCCTGAATTCACTTCCCCCTTGTTTCCGTATCTTTCCAAACCACAAACTAGACGGAGTATCTTGCTCCCTCATTCTAATGAATAATGCGAGAGAATAATCGCGAGCCCTCACTATTGCACGCGATTGTATTCGTTAAAGATTAAAACACCTCACACGCCTCTCCGCCATGCTCGCTGCCTCACCCAAGCCTTCAGATAGGAAACGACTAGTTGTCAGCTCATTGAAGTTCAAATTAAACATGACAAGATTGGCTATTCATGTGAGGACACGCGTCCATGATGTGTACACCCAAACATGTTTTTACGCGAGGGTTGAGAAATCCTAAATTATGCATAACTTCTGTCTCCTTTCTCTTCGTATTTCACTAAATAGAGAAGAGGTTTTGTTAAGGAATCTTTCCAACACACGTTGAGTCCCTTGGGTGAACCACAGGTACAAACAGGACGCGGTTGAGGGGCTCTATGTCTTCAGTGGGTGTTGAGTGATGGGGACGGGCGAAGGAAAAGGGAGGAACGTGTATATATGTGTGCGTATGTATGTATGTGGAGGAACGCTACATAGCTGTTGGTGGCACGTGCCTCCTTAAAGCAGGGGAGGGAGAACAGACGGGGGAGAGGGAAGATGGCTGTGATGCAGGAGGTAGTTACAGAAGTGCTGTTCTGCTCCACTTGTCGGCTCCCACAAAGGCAAATGCGTGTGTCCAAATCACAGAAAGAGATCTTAACACCTCTAGGCGACACGCACCAATGCATGTTTATGCACATCTGTGTAGAAGCCGCAAATGGCACCGAAATTGTTACAGTAAAAGAAGTATCGTGTGGTGGGGAGAAAGATGGGACGGGAAATTGTATATCCCTTTTATAAGAGCTCCTCCGTCTGGGAAATCGAAATTGGGATGCCTGTGAAAATGGCATTCACATGTGGTGTATCAAATAAAATTAGGTTATTAATATTAGTATGAATGATGAAACGTGCTCTGAAAAGTCGCATATTTTCAGAACGAGTCGCTCTCAGAAAAACTGGAGCTAGTTTCTCTGTGATGAGAATTCAAACGCCTTCTTCCTCAAATGACCACAATTCTGATAGCTCAAGTTGTGCTTCACTAGCTGTAACCCTTGAAAAAGAAAGAAATTTTCCGTTTTTTAAAAACACATTATGGCTAGCGGTTCCCCCAAAAAACACTAATTCGTTGTTTGTACTAGAACTGGTCCCGTAGGTTTCATGAGTGGTGCAATTACGCAAGATCAGGCTCGACTGCCGAAGAGTGATGCGGAGGTGCGCGTGGAGGTATTAGTATTTAACACAGGTTTGGGCTCGCTAAGGTGGAGGGCGGGCGCGCTCGTGGGGATGGATGGGGTAGGCAATTACAACCACACGCACACATACCTATAAGGACTACACTTTCAAACCATCTCTAATCATAATTACAAATGTCTATAATTAAGGCACTCCAAAGGAGCAAGTAGGGGTGGACGTTTTTGTTTTTGTACGTCCTACTATTCGTGTGTCCACGCCTTCATCAATTTATTCATTTATGCTCAAATTACCTCGCCTTTTGTGTTGTTTTTCTTTCATTCGTATCTTTCTCCACTACTTTTAATCTTTATGGTCATAATTATAACTAAGAAAATGAAAAGTACGTGATACTTTTGCTAAATTATTTGGGTTAATTTACGGTGGTTTTGAAATCTGGTCTTGGCCAAAATGCTTTTAATGTTTAACAAGTTGGACAAAACTTAGCGTTTGCGTCAAATTTGATGCATAATCCCTGGTCCTGTCTCCTTCCATGCATTGGAGCTACATTCGCCATTTAGCTTATCAGTAAAATAATGTGCTTTTCTACTTTGTTCCTAAACCATGTTCAAGATGCGCTTATGAACATTCAATGCATGTCTCTTTCAAACTATCCTCATGCGGGTAAAACTGGAATCATGTTCCATTTCGAACTCTCTTCCCTTGATTGTTGGCGATACGTCACATCAATGGAGCTCAGTA